CGCGGCCGCCGTACCGGCCAGGTTGAGCGCGTAGTACCCCGTGAGGGTGTACGTGCCTCTAACACCAAAATTAAACAGAGAATTATGAGGAATTCTTGGTATGCCTCAAAATTTGGGAGGCGGGAGGGGGCGTACGCGGCGAAGATGGCAGTGTCGCCGGCCTGGAGGCTGCTCAGGGTGGTCGACCACCCGGCGTTGTCCGGGTAGAGGTAGTAGGTCGCCCCGGAGCTCATGCCCACAGCGAGGCACAGAATCAGGGCCAGCACAGCGCCCACAAACTTATGCATGTCCCTGGTCTTGCTTGGTAAGTGTGGAAAGGGATAAAACTTGCAGAGCTGTCTGAACTGCACGGGGTCACAGCAAAAAAAAAAAAGAGAGAGACAGGCTGGGAGTGCAAACATGCGGGAGCCCCAACTCTGAACACCGTAATATCTGGGAAAGCCGAGGATGATAGGTCAGCAGGCAAGCGATAAATTGAGGATGATAGGTAAACCACCACCGATAGGCCCAAAGGGAGAAGAACAAGGTTGACAGGCCCTTGCTTTGAGCCTCCGGCCGCCGAATGGGAGGTTGCGCGGGGGCTCCAACTGATTGTTGTGGCTCTCCCGCTCGGCCGTTTTCTTCGCTTTTAACCACCCGACCAAGCTTGTCGTGGTTGTATTAAAGGTATAAAACCTGCTGATAGTCAAAGCTGTCGTGAGATCCTTGTCTCTTCCTGACGTAGTGGAGCATGACTGCACCACCCACGACCAAGCCGCCCACCACCACAAAACCAACCAGTTTCTTGTCGCTTGAGCCACCATGATCAGATGGCTAATGGCTGGGCTGCAGAGGCGAGAGAGAGATGACTGGCGACAGTGACGGCGTGATCAATGGCGTAGTGGAAACTATGGGCGACGCTGACCACATCTGCAAAGGTGAGGGCGACAGTGACGGCTGTTCGATGGTGTATTGGAGGTTGTGGGCGATGTTGACACTGTGCTTGATGGTGTATTGGAGGTTCTGGGTGACACGATGGCGTTGCTGAACAATGACTTGGAGATTGAAGGTGATGCTGATGGTGTGGGGGAAGGCGAGAAGAGCCCGGAGCGGATGCATCAAAGACATCCACCACCATGGAGACGCCATACCTCTCAGTGAGGTAGCCTCCAGCAAAGAGCGCCAAGCTTCCCACAGACATGGCCACCACCCCAGACCAAGCCTGCAACAGGCACAGGCCAGCCATGAACCACTGGCCAGAGGACATGTTGTAGGCGTCCAGTGTTGCCTGTAGGCCAAGAGCGTCCTGGCCGCCAATGAACAGGGCAACGTCACCCACCATTGTGGCTCCCACAGTGCCATGATCCAGCAAGAGCCTGGCTGTGCTCCAGTGGTTGGATGACGCATTGTAGATGTCCATGAGTGCAGTGGTGTCAGCTTGGTCAATGAGGCTGCCAGTGAAGTGCCAGATCAGCAACTGACATTGCAGCCATGGAGAAGTGGGGCTTGGAGAGTTGAGTTGAGCACCAAAACCCATTGAGGTGTTGAAGATGTCCAGCACTGCTGAGCCCATGGCCCACTTGCTGTTGATGGTGCCTCTGGCAAACAGAGCAAGATTGCTGACTGTTGTTGCCACCAGCCCAAGGCAGTTCTCTGAGAGACAGACCCAGCCCCACCAGCTGGATGACATGTTGTACATGTCCACCTGTGTGCACTGGCTGCCAATGATGCCAGCAAAGAAGAGAACCATGTCATCAACCAATGCCACCACCAACCCATAGCTGGTGTACTTGGATCACCATGGTCCAGAGACCATGGTCAGCACCACGCTGCTCCTGGCCTGCAAGAGCGCAGCAGCCTCACTGCCCATTGAGAGGTGTAGTTGTTCAGCAGTAGCCAGAACAACAGAGTTTGTTGCAACCACAATAAATACCCCTTTTTCTCAGATGGTGGTTGCCAATGTGTTGCCAGCATGGCCGGCACTGTTGAGGCATGTGGTTAGCTTGGCCTTCCCTTTTCTGACCTAGTAGTGCAGTTTTGGGCAGGGCTTTCCCTTTTTGTGCTATGAGGAGGCCAGTGGACCACTGGTTAGGTGGTCTTCCAGCTGTGTCATGTGAGTGCAGTGTAGGGAGACTATTCTTTTCTAGTCTCCCAGATTGCACTTGCACATCCTGCCCTCTCTATTCCCACACAGCATAGGGTTTGGTTCTTCTTTCTTTCTTGCTTTGTCTCTGCCTGTGTCTCAGGTTTGGGTTCTCAGAGTTTGAGGGTATGAGGAGGCAGGAGCAGCTTGTGATAGGAGAGGAGAGGTTGGATAGGTGGATGTTCTGGGCTGTTTAGAGACGTTTTGCATATACTCCTGTTAGTATGCATTTGGGATGTTTATTGTGGGAGCACCACAATAATTCTTTAAGCAGGCAACAACAGAGGACACAATCATAGTGAGGCATGGGGGCTGGAAGTGATCCACAGAGTCCCACATCATGGCCAAGCTGTTAACTTTACTTTTTATACAAAAAGTAACGTTTTTTTTAGGAAGAGAAAAACAAGAACAAAAAAACTAGAACAAAGAAATTAAAGAATAGGAAAAAGGCGCACTCGCACAATCCAGTGCGATCATATCTGGGAGGAGAGACCACCGTCGAGCACGATGACCTGGCCCGTGAGGTAGTCGCTGCCCACCAGAAAGCTCACCGCGTCCGCCACCTCCTGCTCTTCGCCAATTACGGTGGTGTCGCGTGTGTCGTGCGGTGAGGTGTGCGTGCGGCGCGTGTGCGGTGGTGCGTGTGTCGTGTGTGCATGTGAGAGGGAGGGGGGAGGTGCCTCGGCACGGCCGAGCCGTCGGAGCGGGATGGCGGTGAGGTCGATCTTGTCCCGAACGTCGCGCAGCATTTCCGTGTCGATGTAGCCCGGCGCCACTGCGTTCACGGTGATGCCCCGCGGTCCGTACTCCACCGCCAGCGATTTTGTGAGCCCTGTGCGCCGCCATGCGCGTGCGTGAGAACCACGTCACTACGACACGCACCACCGCGTGCGCTCACAACACAAAACAATTGAGAGCGTACCTATAAGCCCAGCTTTCGAGGCGGAATAGGCCGCTTGGCCAGTGTTGCCCATCAGTCCGATCACGCTGCCCACGTTGATGATGCGCCCTGTGCGCCAACAAGCAATGAGAAGTCAGGAATGTAGGAATGTGTGTTATGTCAAAACA